AGACTTTACCACAGGTAAGTAGTTAACTATAGACTGAAATTACTAAACGTTAAAACCAGGTGTCAAGGGCAAAATAAGTGCTATTTGGTCTACTAATTCAGCAGACAAAAGATTGTGCCAGTGTTTGATGGCTTATCTTGAAAAGAACACTCATCTTCTATGATCCTTCTTGATGCCTCTCTCCCATTCTCTATGCCAGTGATATGAGTGATTCCAAGAAACTGTGCATGATCAATACATGATACTGAATTTTCCCCAAAGGTGCAACCAATGGTCACCAAAACCTGAACACAAAACTTCCCAATGGAAGCCAGGAGCCCATTTCCAAGAAGACTTTGATCCTCTCGCCTGTGTTCTCATACTATTGCCAAAATGGTTATTTGTGGATTTTGGTTTTTGCCTTCTTTAAAGGTAAAGGTTCCCTTGCTCGAAAGCCAGTCGAGTTTGACTCTAGGGTCTGATTGCGGTGCTCATCTCCATTTCAAAGCTGAAGAGCCAGCGCTGTCCGAAGACGTTTCCGTGGTCATGTGGCCGGCATGACTAAACGCCAAGGCGCACGGAACGCTGTTACCTTTCCCACTGAAGTGGTCCCTATTTATCTAATTGCAATTTTTTGCTTTCGAACTGCTAGGTTGGCAGGAGCTGGAACTAGAGACAGGAGCTCACTCCGTTATGCGGCACCCGGGTCTTGAACTGCTGAACTACCGACCTTCCACAGCCTGCAGTTCAGCGTCTTAACCACTTGAGCCACCGCAGCTCCACTTTGCCTTCTTTACCAATGGACAAAATGGAAATAGACAGAGGTTAAAAGAGGACACAGAAGTGCCCACCGTGAATTCTTAGCATAGTTACAGAGCACGTAGCAGGAGCCTCAGCTCCTAGATTATTATCTTAACCAGCTCAGTTGATTCACCTTCCCCTCCTTGATGTCAAATAAATTTGATGTTTCCAATGGCCCCAAATGATAGCTTTCTGGGCTCTGAAGTCAGGCAGTTTCCTTTGCTATAGCTGTTCCAACCAACACTGTATTTTCTGTATTGTTCTTTCTGCAGTTCAACGTTCTCAGGTTTATATAACTAATGCCTAGAACATATGATTTGATACAGCCCTTTCTGCCATAAATGCCACTCGAGATGATTATGTCATCCTGTAGCTGAATACCTGAGGGCTGTGTGATAACCACCAGCTATGTCCTGGATTCCTCACAGCTGGATGCAACAAAGCTCTTGGCTTTTGCTAAAATACCTTTGCAGGAGTATTGTGAGCTGCCTGAAAAAGCCTTGATCAAACCTTTCACCAGATCAGAGAGAGCTGCCAATGCCTTCTTGTGTCACCTGCTGCAAAGGAGCACAGAAAATGATGAATTCCAACCCATCCATAGTAATTATCCCTGGGTTCATCGATCTGGGTCTTATGAAGCACGAGTGTAAGAGACTTTCAAGAGGTCTTCATGTACAAAATGGCATATGTCATAGGTGGGGGGATAAGGTGGATGAATCAGGAAAAAATCTCCTCTGTCTCACCAGGTGACAGTTTTCTTTGCCAAATTACTCTGCTGATGGAGGAGGAAGGAGGTGGTCTTGTTTAATTTCTCCTTCCTGCTGTGCTTCTCTGTGCCACATGTCATTTTGTCAACAAGGGTCCCAACTTCTGGTGTTACCTTTCAGGAGGTCACATACAGGGGGCTGCTGGGGGGAGGCAAATGCAGCAACAATTTGTCTCCATGAACTCCTTGTGTTCATAGTTCATAGTATCTAACCTGTAGACTTTCATCTGATGCTTTCTACCCAAGTTTGCCTGCCTGCAAAGTTTCCTTAAAAATGTTTTCCCCTATAGAGTCTCATTTCAAATGATGAGCCAATTTTTATATGGGAAGGGGGGTTGTTATTGCTTCTTTTCCTCCTTCTGCTGCCAGTTTCACTGGCTGCTCCAGTCTGGTATAAGCTGTCCTCACTAACTGGCTGGGTCTCTCTAGGGTCTCAGTCAGGGGTCCTTCCTAAGCCTCACTGCTTCAGATCCTTTATCCAGAAATGCCAGAGTTTTATTCTAGGGCCTTACACATGCAAAACATGTGTTCCACCTCTCAGCTATGGACCTGGCTGCTTTGAGCTCTGTTTGCCTTTTAAAATATGGTTAGTGTTAATTAAGAAGGCAATTCTGCAATCAGTAGCATGCCCCAAAATCCTCCTGGTGCTGGAGAACTAAATAATCACTCTTCCATAAAATTGCATTTATTTTGGAATATTAAAAGCTCATTCTGAACAGTCATGTAAGTGCCCACATAAGGCATCCTCTATTCAAACACAGCTGCTTCTGTGTTATGTAATACTGCACAGTGACAGCACACACAAAAACCCTGTAAATCCAAAAAATTGTATCCTTCAAATTTTAAAAGGAAATTATATTTTTTTAAAAGAAGGGAATGATATTTTCCCCCCTTAACAGGGCCTTTACTGATCCAGTTACAAAGTTCTGATGACATGGGGGGGCCCTGTATACATGAGAACAGATAAACACTGGATAAAGTACAGCTTATCCTTATGAGATGCTCTGATCCATATGTCCCCAAACTAGTATCTCTTCTGGGTTACACACCATCCTTCAACAGCATATTCTTCTAATTTGATGGTTCTCCAGGAGAACAATCCCTTGTTCCAATGATGGGTGAGGTGCAAGTGGAAACATGAGAAAAAGACTATGGTTGCCACTCAAACTTACTGTATCCCCACTTGTATTTTCATTTATGCAAGATCTGTGCAACCAATTTCTGGGCACTATATTGGAAGGAAAGCATGAGATGTTGCACAAGGTCTTGGACTAGTGGAACTGTGCTAAGGATATATACATATCTATATCTATATATCGATATATATCCACTTGCACATTGCTGGATCCAGGCCACTGTGTCCCATTTAAATGATATGGAAAATATTCTCCAAGTGCAAACATTATTGCTTTTGTCCCTAAAAACAAACTTCTAAATACAATGAGTAAGATTCATTTAATCTATCTCTCTGAAACATTTTTATCCCACCTTACCTCCAAGGAACTTTCCCCTCCTTCCTTTTACCCTCCCAGCAACTCTATGAGGAGGCTAGGCTGAGGCAGTGCAATTGGTCACCTAATATGCTTCATAATGGTCTTCTGCTTTGCTTGAAGGGCTAAGTTCCTTTGCAAGAAATCCATCAACCAGACCTCCCTTTCTTTAGTAGTTCCCCATCCCAAATCAAAACACAGCACAAAAAAGAGATTATCTGCTGTTTATTCCAAACTCATAAAAAGTGAAAGGCGGGTGGGGAGCACAGGCCAGGAGACAAGAGGGGCTCACAGACACCCCTCCCCCTCCTGGAATGTCAGTGTGAGGATCCTCTGAATATACAAGAACAACAACAACAATTACCAGGGATAGATAATTTATAATTTGGCACAGCATCATGTATGAAGGACCACTGGGAAATATAAGTCAGATTGTGGAGAATGTTGTGTGTGGATGCTTTCATTTGGTTATTGCCTACCCTCCTGGATGCTACTTATGGGCCATTTCATGCCACTGTTGGCAATTTGGTACATATAAAGGAAAAAGTGTTTCTTGGCAGATTTCTTGGAGTCGGTTTTGTTTTGTTTTAATAGTAGAGGAAATAGGACAATATGTGGTGATGAACTCTGGAAAAAGACAAGTAATGCCCTAGTTATCTTGTATTTGCCTTATGCCATATTCCCTCCCCACTCCCCCTCTTTGGTAATTCAGAACACAGAAGCATTTCCAATGGCCACAATATTTGAACTGGTTCCAAAAATTGTAACATAAGGTGGGAACTGGTCTCTAAGAATGATGATGTATTGCTGTTGTTGTTGTTCAGTCACACAGTTGAGTCCGACTCTTCATGAGTTTCCCAAAAGCTGGGAAAGAACTGGGCCATAATCATAATTGAATCCTAGTAGACTTTTTTTTAGCAGGAGCTGATGTGGTAGGAAATAAAATACACCAGCTGATATGTATGCATGTTTGAAGATCTCAAATTCAATGTGGTGATAAAGAATTTAGATCACTTGAGCATTGTCTAAATGATTATCCATCTTCTTTCAAGATCACAGGTTTGGCAGCCACTGCAAAAACTCCCAAGAGAAAGTAATGTGCAAATGGAAATGTGTGCTTAACTGAAATAGATGGAAACTTTGGGCATGGAAATTCCTGAGCTTCAAGTTGTTCAAATGGTCTGGATAACTGATCATTTTAGGTGCAAAATAGTTTGTAATTTTCTCCATATGTACCCTGGTATTTAGTAGATTTCCATCAGTTGTTGTTCATTCAGATCTCCAATTCATGTGTAGGTACATAATATTTCTTTTCTTTGGAGGGGGGCACATGAACTATGGATGATACAACCACCAAAAGCTGTCTTATACTAAGTCAGACTATTGGTTTATCAAAGTCAGTATTATCTACTCTGATTGGCAGTGGCTCTTCAGTATCACAGGTACAGGACTTGCTCATTGTCTACTGCCTGATCCTTTGGGAACTAAACCTAGGACTTTCTGCATCCTAGGTAGATGCTCTCCCATTGAACCATGGGACATCCTCTGTCAGATCAAAACTTGCTACCACTGCTCAAACTCAAATCCAAAATTAAATATTTAGAAAGGTAACTGGCATCACATGCAATTGCATAAGATAAATAAAAGTAATGAACAACCAACATCCGTGTATAAGTGTACACTGGTGCTAAATCCAACATCCTTCCATTGGTGGAGAGACACTATACTAAAACAGAACAAGACGACAACAGGGTGACCTTTGGCAATCACCTTTCATTCCTTTCACGAGTTACACATTCCGGTTGATTACAATCATGGATATGGCATGTGGGTGGCCATAAAGATGGTCACAATGAGAAGAAATCAGAAAGAGGATCAATGGAGGAAATGTGTGGTGATGCAAAGAACAGCGAGGAGGCAGGGAGGGTTGTGTGAGGGGGAACTGCATGTTAAGTAGGCTGTACCTTCACATCCACGCTCGATCTGCCCACTGCGGTGCAGAGCATCATTGATTAAATCTGGCAGGCGGCCATTCAAGTCCACTGATGCCAGGCAGCCCTGAAACCCATCACGGGAGGCCACTAACTTTGGAAGGTTGCTGTACATTCCTTGAGACAGGCCAGCAATGTAAAGATCGCCTGGGGGAGGCACACAAAATACAAGGAAAAAGCAAGGAAGTCAAATATCAGTGATTTTTAGCAGTGCATTGAGTCCATTACTCTGTAAGATTCTTTTCCTTAACAAGAAGACAGATGACCCTAACACCAAGTGATATAAGATAGCAGTCGGTAATATAAATTGAATAAAAGACCTCTGTTACTTAGTGTTAAGCAAAGAAAATCTAAATTTAAAACCCAAGCGACCAACACCTCAGATATAAAGCATAGTCGTCTTTTATGTATACTAATTACAACCTTTCCTTTCAGATACATCTATGTTGTGAAGTTAATACTGGATGACCATACCAGTTGATACACAATATTGGGTGAGATGAACTACAGGAGTCTGACGCAGTGAGGAAGTTCTATAGATCCATTCATCTCTATCTCCATTCACCTTACCCATTCTCCAAGGATCTCAAAGTGGCATCCATGGTGCTCACGACTGGTAAATTCTAATATTCTTACAGTCATTCATGCTTAAAGTGTTTAACAGTGCCAACCTAGATGGAATTACATCCACTAAGCCTGCTGAAGATAATAGGTTTAGGAGAGTGGCACTCTGCTTAGGATTGCAGTAGAAGGTCACAATAATTGTTGTGATACAGATCCATGACTGGATCTTCTTTTGTGTCTTTTGTTACCCTGAAAAGCAGCCCGATTGGAACCATCTCCCTGAGCTTGCAAATAGCCCTGATGGGGGGAACAGACAGGTAAAAACAGGGTGCCAATCTCCACACACACCCCGCCCTGGAGCTAACTGTAGAATGGGATGACTGGTTTTGATTGAGTGCGCAGTATAGGGATAAAACGTTCCCCCTTAACTAATGCCATGAACCCAATCCAAAACAGGTTCCACATGGCTGCATTTCAGAATCAATGCACACTTGAGGAGATTTCCAGTGTAATGATACATTTGGCCCTAACTCCCAGTTTACACAAACAGCTCATCCGGTGTTAACATTGTTGCTGCATGTGCGATTTCAGACACGAGTGAATACTTATGCTTAAAAACCAAAATTCCCTAAAAACTAGATGACAAGGAGAAAAAAATGTTCTTGCCTAACCTCCTTCTTGATACGTCTATGTTTAGACTCCTTATCCCATGGGTGGGCATTCTGGCATGCAATCCCTGCCTACATCTGTACAGGTTCAGTCCCCAGAACAATTTTTACATTAGGAGGAGCTGATAGCATAGACTAGGCCTAACTTGGTTCATCAGTCATTGATTTCAGTAGCAAAAGATAAACTTGTCTGTGCAAATCTGCCTTAATAGATTAAACACCACAAATAGAAGTTGGTGTTTCACCTGCTGCCAACTGAAACAGGATACTTCTCACTGGACAAGTACAGAGATGCTTTGCACTATCCTAGGCCATTGGTCCATCAACTGCAGCACAATCCACTCCAGCTGGCAGTGGGGTCTCAGGGATTTCAAGTGGAGATATTTTCCAGACTTACTTTACACTATCCTTTTGTAACTGGGACTTCATTGTGGAAACCATGTGCCCTGTCACTAAGTTATGTCCTTCGCACATTCAGTCAAGATATTTCAGATGAATTCACTGAAGTGAAGGGATGAAAGTGCATGTCAACTGATGAACATACATGTGTGAATAAAACTCCAGTTACTTACCCTTAAGATCAAGATTTTTGGCACCATTGATAACCTGAGTAACAACCCTGGTATCCACTTTTAGGCTGTGGGTATTGCTGTTGTCTCGGGTGATGACGACATTATGCCACTGGTTGTCATTCAATGGCCGTTCACTATTACCCTTAATGACATTAGGTCCATTCCCAAGGTCAAACACATAATGTATGTACCTGCAAACAATACAAGTACCTGCTCAGAATATTTTTTTAAAAAACAATTAGCTGTCACATACTGCATCAATTACTTTTCCATGTAGGCTGGTAAGAGGAAAGAGAAATTAGAATTCACTTGGCTACCTCCACAGCTGGACCAATCAGCTCCCAGAACCACACCAAGACCTCACTTTCCCAGGTAGCTCCCAAAACCAAAACAAGATCTCACTTACCCTTTGACCAATTCAACAGCAATGAAATCATTTCCATCCCCACTGTTGAACAGGATGAAGCCATCTGCAGAGGTTGTCTTGAACTGGAAGAAGAGGTGCATGGAGGTGTAGGCTTGCAATGTCGCTAAGCTCAAGTAGCTGCTCTTAGTCTTGAAGGTAACAGGATCGGCAATGATATTACGAAGCCCGAAGCGGGCTTTAAGTTCACAGTAGTCAATGTCACCATTTTTGCACAGGTCAATGTAGAGAAGGCCATTGAACATGAGGCTCTGAAGGTGACCAATGAAGCTGGATGGAATGACTGAGATATAACGCTTCTCTGTCATTATCCCAGTCTCAATGTTGTGGAACTCCAAGCGGGTGTGGTCACCAACCATTGTGCCTGCAAATCAGGATACAGTAAAGCTGAAACAGTGATGGTATCCTATATATATAATTCCCTTACATATTGGCCATTTCCAGCTCTCCCATCGGCTGTGCAGTACGCTCCATCAGCCATTGGCCCATCAACTGCCACTCAAGAATACTCACATGCCATTGGATGGGGGCTGGGTCCACTCCTCTCCCCCACCCACTGTCAGCCTGGACACTCTTCCCTCACAGAAAAAAAACTATCAAAACAACTGTCTGTCCTGACGAAGACACTTCTCCTGCTTGGCTCCTGTGGGACAAACGTTTCCTATGGGACTAACTTTTCCCTCAGTGGCTGTTGCTAGGCAACCAAACTAGGTTCTGTCAGTAAAAAGGCAAAGGAAGAAAACCCTTTCCAGGGCCAGTCCTGATGAGGCTTGCCAGCTCCAGATTGGGAAATTCCTGGATATTCTGTGGTGGAGTCTAAGAAAGCCAGAGTTTGGGGAGGGGAGAGGCCTCAGCTGAATAAAATGCCATAGAGCCCACCCAGCTCCAAAGCAGTTATTTTCTCCAGGGGGAGAGATCCATTGTCTGAAGTTCTGTTGTGATACCAGGCAATCTTCAGGCTCCACCTGGAGGTTGGCTACCCTAGGCATAGCAGTTAAGTGCTTCAGAGCAGGGTCTGCCAGACCCAGGTTCTTCCTGTGGAAGTTGAGTGGGTGATTTTGGACTAGTCACAGACTTTCAGCCTAACCTACCTCACAGGGTTGTTGTGCAGATCAAAAGGGGAAGAGGAGAATGATGTAAACTGCTTTGGTTTCCACTACGGAGAAAGACTACTTTTCTTCCTGGGGAACTGTTTCTGCCAATCTCCAGATGAGGGCTGGATCACTCAGAATTAAAACTGCTCTCCAGATGGTAGAGATCAGGGGCAGATAACGGTAGGTTGATGGTTGGCTGGGAAGGAGATAGGGGGGCCAACTCCAGGTTGGGAAATTCCTGGAGATTTGAGGGGTGGAGCCTGGAGAGGGTGGGGTTGTGGGGGGGAGGGTCCTTAGAATTACAACTGCTCTCCAGGAGGGAGGGGGGAGAATATGGAAAGTCAGAGGGGCATATAATGGTTGATGGTTGGCTGGGAAGGAGATAGGGTGGCCAACTCCAGGCTGGAAAATTCCTGGGGATTTGAGGGGAGTAGCCTGGAGATAGTGGGGTTTGAGGAGGGATGGGACCACAACAGGTACAATGCCATAGACTTCACCCTCCAAACCAGCCATTTCCTCCCAGGAACCATTGTTGCCAATCTCCAGGTGAGGACTGGCGATCACTCAGAATTACAACTGCTCTTCAGATGGCAGATATCAGTTCCCCTGGAGAAAATGGTGGACTCTGTGTCATTATACGCTGCTGAGATCACCACAGCAAATTGATGCTGAGTGCCCAAGGCCAGGGCACTCGCCCAGAGCCTCCTTCTAGACCTTGTTGTATTTATTTCCACAACAGGCTTTATTCCTAGTTGGTAATAAGTTCTGCCTTCAATGCTTTTCCATCTATTTGGTTTATATTCCTATAGCTCGGAGTTTGTGGTGAATCCCTTAGCACACATATTAAAATCATGTGTGTTTCTGTGTATGAAAAGCAATACATGTCCTGCCAGTGCATGTCCTGTTTTATTCAATGCAAGAGGGAAACCAGTGCAATAGGTTAACAATGTTTTATCCCCAGTGTGGAAGAAACAGGGAACAAGGAAGTTTGCATGGAACAGCACTCGCTGAACAGTTTTTTTTCCTGCCCACTTCATGGTTTTTTTGGCTAGTTATAAAAGATTCAGATTTTTTAAAAAATAAACCAGTGTACAACTAATTCCAATTATGCACAAAAATATGTTTTAAACAGCCATGAAACCTGGCAATATTAAATCAAGAACAATATTTCCTATTACAATAGTCATATATGTATGATGCAGCACCAGCAGCAGCCTCTAAAGTGGAAGAGTCACTTTACAGACAATCACCTTCCATTGTAAGAGTCACTTTACAGACAATCACCTTCCATCCATTGTTTAATCAGATGCCATAATGCATCAACTTGTTTTACATCTATACCCTTTCATAAAGCTGTGAGTCTGATTAGAGTATACATCTCTTTTATTTTGTTAAATCAATATCATGTCCTAGGAAATGCATCCTATTTTCAAATGCCAGCAAATATAATTTTATTTTTCTTACACTCCTGGAGGAAAAATACCTCGCACACAAAAGCTTATACCTTGAATAAAACTTTGTTGGTATTAAAGGTGCCCCTGGGCTCAAACTTTGTTCTTGGAGGAAAAATATTTTTGCATAATGGAGGAAAGTCCATGGAGGAAATGTAGAGTGGGTTGCCTCAGAGATCAAACAGGGTGCGGAGAGAGTACCATAGTCACCATTTAGGTAAACACACAAATCAAGTTTGTATATTAAAATATGCTATGTGATGTATTCCATGGTGCTAAATTATAAAACACCATCAAATTCCTCAATTTTCCATCAGCAAATCTTAACATAGAATTATAGAATGTTAGAGTTGGAAGGGACCTTGCAGGTCATCCAGTCCAACCCCCTGCACTCTACAGAAGCATAGCCAAAAGATAGCCCTACAACATACCCGAAAGATGGTCGTCCAGCCTCCACTTGAAAATGTCCAGAAAAGGAGCATCCACTACCTCCCGAGGTAGTCTGTTCCACTGCTCAGCCACTCCCACAGTTAGGAAGTTTCTCCTGATATTTAGCCGGTAACGACTCCCTTGTATTTTCCACCCATTAGATCTAGTCTTGCAATCCAGAGCAAAAGAGAATAGATCTGCTCCATCTTCTATATGACAGTCCTTCAAATACTTGAAGACTGCAGTCATGTCCCCTCTAAGCCTTCTCTTTCCCAAGCTAAACATACCCAACTCTTTCAGCCTTTCCTCATAAGACTTGGATTCCAACCCTCTCACCATCCTGGTTGCCCTCTTCTGGACACGCTCAAGCTTGTCAACATCCTTCCTAAAATGTGGTGCCCAAAACTGGACACAGTACTCCAGGTGAGGCCTGACCACAGCCTTTGCAGCTATAATCTACAGTTCCATTATCCAAGGAAATACTGTATAATGCTACCAGACGTTTAACAACAGCACCGTCCAATTCCCCATAATAAGGGTTTTTAAAAAAAGAAATGCATGGAAGATTAACAGAGGTGGCTTTCTGAAGACCATGCATATTTTTGCAAGGGTACACTCCTCTGTGGCATCAATCAATAAAATCTTGAGAAAGGATATTTTGCTCATAACCTTTGATGGACTAACAGATTTCTTAAAACTGATCTTACAACTAGATGGACAGTTGCAGGCCAACACGATGCTTTCCCCACTTAAATAAAGGTAAGAGATAACTCAACAATGGACTTCAACAGATTTAGAAGGATATAAGTCTATTTAGGAGTGCCTCTGTAAGATTGTCTGAAAATATAAACTTCAACGTGCCAAATGGGCTTTTTCTCCAAGCTTGTGGGAGATTTCTTATTCTACCCAGTGTTAGTGACATGTTTCTAATGGAGGGAAATTCTCAGTTCACTTGTAGGCTGCACTGCCAGCTAAAATGTTGTGCACCAGTGCCCCCTAGCACAGCTTAGAGGGAACTTTGACCAAAACTGTATTCAAATAGAATTTCTAAGGGGAAGACATTCACCCTTTTCAGATTTTTGTGCTTCAGCCATATATAATGGGAATGCACGCTCCTGGTATGAATGGTTTCCTTTTTGTGTGAATGGACAATGCACCTATTTCCCATGCACATACAGCTTTGGTATACAGAAATGCATTCCCTGAAAAATCTGCATTCTAGTCACATGTACCAAAGCCATACATGCATGGAAAATATGCATGTTGGCTAGGGATGGGCACAAACTGAACCCCAAAGCAAAATCATCACAAATTTTACTGTGTTTGTGGTTTGTGAACTGAACTTCATGACAGATCTAGCATCACAAACTTTCATGAACTTCTACAGCAATTTGTGGTGGTTCATGGATAGAGCAGAAAGCAGGGGTTCAAAGGGATACTGAGTCCCTTTGCATGGTGGCTAGGGATGCATTTAAAGAGACTGCACAAGAAAGCCCAAAACAGCGGAGCAGCAAAGAGCAGATTAATCCCTGCCGCTTAGCTGTTTTTTGGGCTTTCTGTAAACCCCGTTTAAAGGGACTGTGGTCCTTTTCAATGGGGTTTCCAGAGCCACAAACCATGAACTGGTTCAGTTTACAAACTAACCTCCCAGTTTGGTTTGTAGTTCAGTTAGTGGCTCAGCCATGAACCATGAACCAACACAAACTGCGTTTTTCTGGTTTGTGCACATGATGCACATTCATAATGATGGCTTATTCATGCAAAACAGCTACAAGTCTTGAGAACACCAAAATTAAACTTCAGGAAGGAAGGAAGGAAGGAAGGAAGGAAGGAAGGAAGGAAGGTAGTACGAT